GGCTTGACTTTCTGACAGCAGTTCCTGTACCCAGTCAGGAGAAAATGAGACGCATATATAGACTCCTTTGCCATGCTAGCCAACAGAGCCTTTTTTCTTTAAGACCCATTACAAGCTTCATAGTGCCTGGCTGGAGAGTTAGCACTGATTGGAGGAAAAGCCCTTGTCTCACTGACATCACTGCAAGTCTGCAGGTGCCAAGGAAGTCACAGGAGAAGCTGTAGGTTAGAAAGATGAGGGAATCTTGGCTGACTAAAGCCAATGTTATCCCAGTACACAACATTCAAAGCACTGCTTGGAGAATCTCCAGTTACAATCATATAATAATGTGGCACACAATACTATTGTCAATAGGCTGAAGTTTTGTCTGGTCTAGGTTAATTTTGTCACCCATTTTTATTAAAAAAATACCACAAATCCTGTAGGAAGGTCTCAAAAGCCTTCTGGAATTCATTCTCATTATGATCTTGCTTGTTTGGCAGAAATCTTAATTTGAGTTAAAAAGCTTCTGAATTAAGACAATTGAATTTGTTTTCAACAGTTGAACAGACATAAGGAATTAGACATCTGCAATTAAAATTGGTTAATTAACTAAATATTACTTCAGCTAGGTGTTCAATTAAATAATTGAGATCCTGGCTAGAATAAAACTAGCACAGAGTTCTTGATTACAGAATTGGGAAGTGTTGATTTGGTGGCAGTTGCAAACATCACAAAAAACCCCCATCTGGACTGAAAGTAAAGAGCTGCAGGGAAGTTTTCACATCTTTCAGAGGTTGATGTTGCTACCAGTTTACATACTGTTTAGCTGTTGTCAAAACAAAATGTAACAGTAACCATTCCTGCTATCTGGTTACATGCATTTTGTACTGTATGTTGTCGTCAGACACAAAGATTCGTGTAAGTGTATCTGTAATGAATTCAACAAAGTACACTTCAGTTTTGTGAGGAGAAGCTTTTCCACTGCAAGGTTCATATGACCTGTCAAAGAAAGTCTTCCATCTCCTTTTTAGCTGGTAGAGTCCATCATGTTTGAAAATCAGTATATTACTAAGGCTTTAGATTACAGATTGCAAATGTCATTTCTAAGAGTTCTGTAAATCAAATACTTTAATAGAGTGATATAAACATGATGATAA